AAGAAGGGCCCAAGATAGATCTTACATTCGCCATCTAGGGTTGAGGGTTTAGGGTCTAGGGTTTATGGTTTTAGATTTAGGGTTTAGGGTTTAGGATGCAGGGGGCGCTTTGCATAGATCCTGGAACCATAAGGAAGGATTCTAGTACCAATTGAGAGCCTAATGTAGGGACCTTAATAATTAGAATAGGGTTTGGGGGTATATCATACTATACCTATAATGTGGAACCCCAACAATACTATAGGTAAGTATTAAGGACCTCATATTACTTAAACGAATACTTTCAATAAACCACTCGATATGGGAGCAGATTCCACTGCAACAGACACATAGGGTCGACAGCAAAAACTTATCATGACTGACTGTAATACCCAAGTTCATGTTTTGACATCATACAATATTATTATGGCCTGTGGGATATTTAGCATCATATAGTATTATGGCCTGTAGGCTTTAATTACTCGCAGGGCGTCTGCGCCCTCATCGCAAGCATCTCGGTGCTGCAGTTCGGAGGCTGGGGCGAGGGTTTGAGGTGTTGGGTTTAGGGTCGGGCAGGTATAGGATTTGGCAGACGCGTAATAAGTCACGGAGCAAGGATGAGAAAGCAACATCATCAGCATCACACTCGCAATGGGCTATTGTGAAGGCTGAAGAAAGTGCAACCGCACCCGAACAGGCGAGACTTGCGCTGCATCGTATCGATCGAATCGAAGCTCGTTAGTCCGCAGGCACGAAGGCCGATTGAACATCTGCAACTTATACAACCCGAAACCACGCCCGTGCCGGAAGACGAATCCAAGGACACAAGGCTCGAGCATATCCCTTGGCACTGTCAACCGTAGACGCTACACCCTCAATCGCAAACCATACATGTGCACCTGAGGCGGTTCACTTTAACCCTAAGCCCCCCACCGCCATCACAGAACCCTCATAATACTGTAACGAAGAGACTACCCTCCAGAAAGCAGACCTCCACCTTCATGTTGAAGCATCTTTCTGCCAGCCTTTGCGGGGAGGGGTCTGTTGGGCAGGTATTGGTGTTTGCGACAATCCCAGGATTTGTGGGTTGTGGGCACAGGATGTCGAGTCTCGATGAAAACATTATTCCGCCAGGGGCCTTGTATAATCAGAGCAGAAATCTTCAAAACCCTGTGAAACCTGCGCTACAGCTCAAAGACTGTACCGACTAAACCTGCAGGAGACGTGCTCAGTCCATAGTTGCTGTCTTTCTGGATGCAGTTACAACACCTATCCATGACTCTTCAAGTACGACCTAAACCACTATGGTAATAAATGAACAAGTAAGTGTCTCACCCTGAAACTTTCACTCCTACGCACACCGGGGATGGGGTCTGCGGGCTTACGCTTTTACGGTTTGGGTGTAGGGAGATGGGGGATTCAGGGTTGGGGGGGCTGCTGGAGTGGCGTGTGAGGTTTAAAATTCGGATGCGAAGGGCATCGACTTTAGAGTTGATCGTCGCCGTTTTGGGCTTTCGTGAGTGCAAGGTTGTAGTTTTCAAGTATATGTCATCTGCCATGTAACGGGCTCCGATAAGGGTGCGAAGGTGCCGGGTAGGAGTTTGAGGGAGTTCGGGTAGGGGCCTTAATATTTTGAATATTTTTTGGATTCTATTCCACTATAATTACAATCAAGAACCCCCAAAATAGTATAGGTAATCATTAAGGCCCCTACATTAGGGTCTCAAAGTTTCCAACATCAGGGATTCGACGTTTGCCCCGATCACCGGAAGCGCCGCTTTCCCTGGAGCCCCCGAAGCTTTCCGGGACACCCTTAAAAGAGTCCTCAATAGCAACTTACTTCCCCAATAAGCCAAGGAAATAAAAAGGTAAACTTTAAAGGTTTGGTATTGGGGAACCAAGGAGAGCAGCCAGCACTGTAGGCCCTTGATGCCCTTCAGAACCTACATGCCCCGAAGAGCAGTCGAACTTACTGGATTTTGAAGTTTAGGGTTTAGGGTCTAGGATGAAGGACGCCGAACCCTTTCAACCCTCCAGCTCCCGAACTCTACATCAACCCCGAACTCCTGAATTCTACCTCTACTTGCATTTTGGTCAGTGCAAACTAAGGAACTACGTTGGAAAGCACGGGTAAACCCAACAATAAAGCCGAAAGCCTCTCAAGCGCACTTTCAACCACAGTATAAACACGATTGCAAATAATCCCTTGGAGTTTGACTACAAGAGCCAATCCTAACAGCCCTAGACCCTGAACCTTAAACCCTAAACCCCGAAACCCCTAAACCCCTAAACCCCTAAACCCTAATTTATAAACCCTAAACCCTAAATCCTAAATCCTAAACCCTAAACCCCTAAACCCTTTTGCAAAGGAAGCGGCAGCGCGTTGGCGATCGGAGCGCCGGCAGCTCTGTCGTTGCTGCGAGGAGCGCCCTCCAGGTTCAGCAGGCTGTAGTACACCTGTTGTGCGGGTCTTCGGGCCCCGAGTTCAGGGTTTAGGGTTTGGGTGTAGGGTTTAGGGTTTAGGGTTTAGGAGTTTAGGGTTTACCTACACCCTACACCGTTTCGGGCTTTAGAGTCTTATTCTATCGGGTTTCATGGAACCGTGGGGGTTCATGGTTCGTGGCCTCGGCTGTGGCATGGGTGCTCCAGCAGCTAGCTGCTTTTGCATCCTTGTGGCAAACTCTAGACGTTAATAATCGGATCTTAACAATTAGTATATATCATCCTCTTATGGTCCCTGCAGCGTTGTACACTTATATATATATATATAGATATCTGCATATAAAATACATATATACATATGATATACACATGATATACCAAAATCCTACTGTTCTAATTCTCAAGGCCCCTAGAAGGCTGAAGAATTCGTCTCGGGGTATATGATGCACGTTCTAACCTCCCCACAATCAAACGCAACATCTACATGCACCAACACTCCATGTAAACATGGAAGCAACACACCACCGAATACATGCAGACCCATGTAACCAGAAAGTTGCCATCACATACAAGAGACCCGGGGAAACACAATGAACTGAACGCTTTGGAGTTACTTGGGCGCGTGACTTCCTTCTATGATCCCTTTACTGGACACCCTCATCCCTGCCAAAGCCCGACTCCATGCTAAAGCCGCTCTGTTGAACAAATTGACTTCCGATTGCATCGCGCCTGTTCCGTCTGCACGGCGATGTTCTCCCAGCTAAAGTCACGGATAGCCTTGGCCTGGGCATTCTTGCCCATCCACCTTCAGATTTGGCGGCTGTAGGGTTTAAGGCTTATTGCTGTGGTTTAAGTTTTATACAGTGAATGGTTAAGGTTTAGGGTTTAAGGCTATAGGGCTTATCTTGTCGGAAGCTGTGGCTCACGGGGATGTGGCATTGCCGCCAAAGGGCACGTACGGCATTCGCAGCTAGGGCTAGGGCATCAACAGCAAACCAGAATGAGAGGCCCAGCGTTTCGGGGGAAGTTTAAGGACTTGGTTTAGCCCAGATAACTATTGACTCAGAAACGTTTTGGTTCCCCGTTGTAGCTATAACTGCTATACTACAACATAACCCAAAACCCCATTCTAATGACTAGGCCCTGCAGTATAGGTAAGGATCCTGCACTGTCGGGCGTTGTGTTCCACAGAGAACTGGGAAGTTGCCTAAGAACTCTCCGACATGGGGATGAGCCGGTACTACTGTTGATGATATAAATCCTGCATTACCTTAAGGACCCTAAACTACGGGAATTATGGTATTTTCCTTACTATGGGTAATGCAAGATTTATACCATCAACCGTAGTACTCAACCCGTAGGGTGAATCTACAAGGGCTCTCTAAGCCTTTTATGGGGGTATTCATAACAACAGGTCTTCGTACCTCAGAGGCTTTCGGGCTACCCTTTAGATTCGACAAGGGTCTCCATAACTACCTTCGGGAATTCCTGTGCGGGTGCTTCAAGGGTCTTGATCGTAGGGTTTGGGGATCTGTATTAGGAAAGGCTTTGATTTGTACCTGCACAGTATGTACTTTGACCCGAATCCCAGCCAACATCCCAAAGCCCGAAACATAAGACTCGCGCACCTACCAGCTACCAGGACCCCCTCAAGGTACCCTTCGGAGAGGCCTTACAGTTTCTAAGTGTGAGTCTTGATACAGTATTCTGGGCCCTAAACCCTAAACCCTAAACCCTACTGAATCCTTCTGCACTGTGTTTCGTTCTTGAGTATCAGAGAGGCCCGGGGTGCACAGGAATTGGCCTAGCGGCTCAAGTCAACCGAAACCCTGAAATTCACCCACGAAGCTCTGAATTGAAACCTTAAGCCCCACGGTTTAGGGTTTAGGGTTTAGGGTTTAGGGTTCAGGGTTCAGGGTTTAGGGTTTAGGGCAAAACAACCCAAACAGACTCTAAGCCTCCGGCCTTGAATGCTCGAAGTTCTCGAGGATCTTGCAGCAGCCCCAGGCGATGGATCCGGGGTCCGGATCGACGAGGTAGCCGTCCTTTCCGGGCTCGGGTATAAGGCTCATGGGGTTTAGGGCTTCGGGTTTTGGAGTTGAAGGCTGCAGGGTTCAGGGCTTATGGGGTTTGAGGTTTAGGATCTAGGCGGTAAGGTTTCAGCGTAATTAAATATTTAAGGTTCGAGTAGGGGATGCAGACAGGTTTCGGACGATTTAAGGGCTACTGCTTTGATTCGCTGCGTCATCAGCTGAAAAACACGATGAGGGAACCGGGGGAAGTCATGCACATCACTGCATCTGGGATGCCCTGCAGATGCTACGAATGCATGCCGCAGCCGCATGGACATACTGTCTGAGTGTTTAGTGCGGAGCGCGTTCCAAGCGGACCCCTGCAGGACTTGCCAAAACTGTATAGTTGGGCTCGGCCCTCGAGCGAATCGTCTGAGCGATTGGTCGGAAGGGCTGAAAGGGATCTTGTTGCAGATCTCTTTAACCACAGAACAAAAGCCAACGGCACTCACAAGCTTTTATATTCCTTGAAGAGATTGAGCAGGCATTGATTGCATCTCTGACAGCTCAGGTCTGCGATCGCCTTGCTCCTTCGAGCACCACAGGACGCCAATCTTCACCTTCGTGGTGCTCCTCCGCAAACTCGAACTGCCAGGAGGCATCGCGACGAAGACCCTTGCAGACACGTGAGATTTTTTGGGCATTGACCCCAGTGTGCGCAGCCGCGGCTGCAAGCGACTCAAACTGGAGCCAACATCGTGCCGAAGCGTCACCTCCCATTAGGCATGCTCGCACAGCTATGCCAGATATCTTTGCAGGCCTCCTTTGCCAAGAATACTTCACATTCTGTGATGCAGTAACATATTCCAGGTTTTGCACATGGTTGTTTCCCCGATCCGAATCTTTGTGGTGGACCTGGAAATCAGGATTTTCTGGCTGGCCGAGAAATGTCGCAGCAACGGCACGGTGGACTAAGAGCGTTCTGCCAGCCCTCTTGACAGAGTAGTAGCCACTGCTAAGGTAGGTACCGCGACAGACATGTTCAATGCAACGGCTTGTTTGTGAAACTCGGCCGTGGTTGCTGACCAATAGGTTCGGGATAAGACCAGGTTCATTTGGATACCGCGCAGGCTTCCAAATCTCAGAAGGGACACCGCTCTGCTCAATGATGGGAGCTTGTTTGAATTCGTACCAAACCCCGTTTCCGCGTGACTTCCTCGCCAAACCGCGGCAGCACCTCGAGATGGCTGCCTGGGGCACACCCAGCACTCTTCCTGCTTTGTGCTGCGATGCACATAATGTCCAAGCCTCTTCACCCAAAGGTCGCCATAGAACCGCTTGGCTCTGTTTGGCAGCACCAGACTGCCGAGCCAAGTTGGTGGCCCAAGAATGCTTCTGATTCTCGGAAGGAGAAACATACTCCAAATTCGACAGGCGGTTGTTCTCGCGGTTCTGGTCCAAGTGATTGACCTGCCACCTGCTAGGATCCGGCGGTTGGCCCAGGAAGGTTGAGGCCACCAAGCGATGAACGAAGTAGCTTTGGCCATCAATGTATACCCTGCGATACCCTTCGCTGTGGACTGTGCCACAGTGGATTGTGCCAGAAGCGTTTGAAACCCGACCATGAGAACTTACCTGCCACCCGCCCGAAACAAATCGCGCCTCCAGCACGCATCCATACCACATTTTCGGTGAAAGCACCATGTGGCAAGCTGGTTGCCTGGTGCGCGCAGCAATGCAGATCATTCGCTCACGTGTGGCCGGGTGTGCAAGCCCATGTTTCGACACGATACTTCTTTGCAGAAGATCAAGACGGAGCACCAGACCTACACCCGACATTTTGAGCCACATGCCCAGATCACAGACATGGTTACATGAATGCTCCAATGTCCTCGCATGTAACGGAACGAGAACAAACAGACATGTTTCAACAGGTCCACGCACACGAGCGCCCCCAACGTTTCATGAATGTCCGCTGGTAAGGGCAACAGGGCTTCACCAAGGGTATATTGAAGGATATGTGTATACACTGCCTTCAGTAGGGCACTGCAAGTTTCAAAATGTTGCCTTGCTGCCGGAAGCTTGGCTGTCTTACAACGTCCAACTTGACACACCAAGTTCATTAAAGTACACTGTCCTACACCTTGAAAACCCAAGGTAATCAACATACCAGTTAAATATCACAGCCTCTTCAGGCCGGGAAAAGCTGAATTCTGCAACCCGAAACTCTGGCCCGACTCTGAGGCCTCGGACCTCGGAGGCAAGTATCAATCAATAGCCCTCAGCACCTGCAGCCATCCCCAAAGAATCCTCGAGCCCGAAGAAACTGCAGCCTTTAATTCGGAAGAGCGTGATTGATTCATCAACCTATGTCATCCCAAGCCTGAGGCTTTGAGCACGAACCTTGCGCCGTGATCATGGTCAACACCCTGAGATGTCATTCACAACCCCGATCTAAATTTTGTCAACTGGGTCTTGACGTGGAAATTGACTGAACGGAAGATACAGACAAAGCCCTTGCCTAGAATTGAGTGCACATGATCGTGCAGACGGCAACCATACACAAATATTGAAACGCAAACAAAAAGCATGCGCACGTGATTCTGTGCTTTTGAGCATGAGTCTGTGTATGCAAAATCCCGTTGGTCTCAACACTCCCCCCAAGCCCTTAAACGAAACCACAACCTGAATATCAGACCTAGGCTTGAGCACTTGACCCGAAACCTAGGCCCCTCAACAGACTTATGATACACGCATAGACAGGAAACATAGCAAGTAAAGACCAGCCAACCTAGCAATAACCTCAGGAACCCAGAACATAGCCCATAACAAAAGCCCAGTCAGAAGAACAACCCCAAGTGGCCCAGGCCCTAAGAAGCTGCGGCAGCCACTTCAAACCCGTAGGCCTTACAACCCTAAACCCTTATGGAACCTTGATAACCAACATGATGCTCTGATGCTCTTGTCTATATGACCCGCCCTCCCCCATGACCAAAACAAATGTCAGAATGTCCTCCCCGGGCTTCACCCTAAACCCTATAAACCCGAAACCCTAAACCCTAAAGGTCCTCCCCGGGCTTCACGAAGTCGCGGGGTCCACCGGAGGTCGTCGCTACGACAGGCTTACCGGAGGCCCACGCCTTCGAAGAGGGCGACAAAAACAGAACACACACCGTACTCCCTAAACCCTTGCCCTTAACCCTAACCTTCGCATCTTCAGGAGCGTGGTTCGGGTGCAGGGTTAGGATTTCAGCCTAAACTCTAGCCCTGCACCCAAAGTATGCTCCTGAAGATGTTCGATCGTTGGCGTGTAAAAAAGTTTAATGCCTAGAGTTGCAGGCTGAGGGCTTAGGGTTCGAGCTTGGGAGTTGACGGTTTAAGGCCTACATAAGATTTTTTGGCTTCAGGGCTTGAGACTTAAGGCTTCTAGGCTTTATAAGGTTTAGGTTTTAGGGTTTAGGTTTAGATTTTAGGGTGTAGGGTTAGTTATAGTCACGGCTTGAAGCACCCCAAGACGGATTGTAAAGCCCCAACGTCGACCCTGAAAAAAAAAACAGCCGCACCCAAACCGCCTCCAGCACGACGATGCCAAATGGCTCGTTGCGGCTCGGAACGACAACGGCATCACAGGACTTGAACAGAGCCTGGCTTCAAGCATACTTCGGCTAACTGTTAGGATCCACAACCAGCGCTGAGGGTTTCAAATATATTGCGCAAGGGCTGTTTGGGTTCCCAAAGGGTCCAAGTACCATTATAGTAGGTACTTAGTAGGTATTTGGGCCCCAAAGTATATACTACACTATTACTTGGACCCTTTGGGGTTTGCCCCCCCCCCCCTAGGCCTCAATTTGCCCCCTTAAAGACTTAGAGTGCCGTTTAAGGTCGCTCGGGAGTTAGATCTTCAAGTCCATTTCGGACCATAACCTGCAGTCTCTATTGTAGTTCCTTTTTTAAGGATACCTTATAAAATCCTACTATATAATTGGTCAAACCAGAAAAGGAACTACAATGGAGCCTATAGGAAGTGTACACATCCTCATGGGGCTCAAGGCCTCCTTGAGGTTGAAGGTTTCGGGCTGCTTTCCTTGAACCCTGCACCGTCCCCCCAATGAGGGCGGTTTAGGGTTTAGGGTTTAGGGTGTAGGGTTTAAGGCTTAGGGTTTAGGGTTTAGGGTGTAGGGTTTAAGGTTTAGGGTTTAGGGTTTAGGGTTCCAACGAGCCGGAAACCGTTTCTAAGGCAGCCAGCTTCGCTCACATAGTGCTTGAATTCTTGTATACCATAGCCCACCGAAACACCGGAACAAAAACAACGGGTCTTAGGGGATCCATTCAAGGCCCTGAACCCTCAACCCTAAACCCCCAAATCCCTAAACACTCAAGATGGATACCCAGACCTGCAGCTCAAAAAGACTCTTAAACCCGGTAGTCCTCTCGACTCTAAGGCTACTAAGGCCCATTCCTTCCATGAGCTGCCGTCAATACTACCTGTAGTCTCCATTGTAGTTCCTTTTTTGGGGATACCTTATAAAATTCTTGCTCTATAACTGGTTTAATTGGTTAAACCAAAAAAAAGGAACTACAATGGAGACTATAGGTATTTCCCTAAACCCTAAATCCTAAACCCTAAACCCTACTTAGGGGCGACCATCGGTCATCCACTGACTACACCCCAAAGACCAAGGTTCCGCAGTGAGGTCCTCAGGAGGGGACAGAAGATGAGACTTACATTGTTAATCCTAAGCCCGGCCAGCCCAAAGGGTCCTAGGTACTGTTCTAGGGGATACTTTCCCAAATCATAATAACTATTCCTACTACAAGAATCCTACATTCTACTATATGGGTACATTGGACCCTTCGGGCATGTAAGGCTAGGGAAGTTCCACAGAAACTGATGCCACTCTATCCCTGGAGGACATCGGGGAACTACCAGAACCAAACCCTGAACCCGCTGTCCTTCAAGTGGGCGCTGCCACTTTTCAGGGAGCCGGTGAAGCTAACAGCATGGCCTGGTCCAGGGTTTACGGTTTAGGGTTTATAGGGCTTATAGGGTTTAGGGTTTAGCGGTTTAGGGTTTAGGGCTTAGGGTTTATGGGGCCTTCCTATGGGAATTTGGAAGAGCCGGTGTCAGTTTTCGGTTAAGCAGGACGACGGTTGAGAGGAGTCTGACCCAATTGAGCTCAGTTTTTTCCGGGTGAAGGGAGCCTCATACATTGTAGACTTTAGCATCAATCAAGAGGCCTTTGTTGGGATACATGGACTGATGCTACCCGACCTAGAAGATGACGGCACGAGCTATCTTCCTGGTCTGTTGGCCCACATTGGCACTGTTAGCTAATATGGGGGCCTTAGTAATTAGAATAGGGTTTGGGGGCCCAAATTATACTATAATTGTCATAAGGAACCCCCAAAAGAGTATAGGTAATTCTTACAGCCCCTAAACCCTAAACCCTAAACCCTAAACCCTAAACCCTAAACCCCTAAACCCTAAACCCTAAACCCTAAACCCCTAAACCCCTGAACCCCCAATTCTTACAGCCCCTATATTACCGGGTCATGGCTTGATGCTTAAGAGTTTGCCGCTTGGGGCTTGGAGCTTAGGGTTTAAGGCTTCAGGCTTTCTGTTTGGGATGCAGGGCGTAGGGCGTTGCGTGGCGGTTTTGCGTCTGCGGATTCAGAGTTTAAGGCGCAGGAATGAGACAAGATCATTAGCGACGGTAGATTGAAGGTGTTCAAAGTGTACAACACTCTTGTTTTGGACCCTTCCTAACCCTTGGGCCCACAACGCGCTTTCCTTGGCAGTGCAGGGCAAGGCAGGGCACGGCAGAGCAGGGCAGATCAGGCAGGGCAGCGGACGGTGCAGCTCCTGGGTGGTCTAATTCCGGGCATGGAGCTTGCGTTTAGGGTCTAGGGTTTAGGGTTTAGGGTTCAGGGTTTAGGGTTTAGGGTTTAGAGTTTAGGGTTTAGGGTTTAGGGTAATGACGGGACCAGAGCTGTTCCGGTACGGGGTCCGACGTGGGTGGAAGAGTCGAGTTTGAGGTTTAGGGTTTACCTTAAGAACCCAAAACCCACTTTTTTGTAGGTTCTTATTATACACCCTATTATGGGATTTATAGGGACCCTACAAAAAGTTAGGTTTTGGGTCCTTAAGGTAGGGTCCAGCAGATCCAATTCGAGCAGTTTCTAGTCGAGCTCATTTCAGAGCGGACCTGTTACGGAATCGTTTGATCGACTTCTGCGGCCGATCTGCTACGGAATCGTTTTGCACACTTCAGCAGTTCCACATAACGTTTCTGATACCGTATCTCAATACGAAGAGCCTTAAAGGGAGGGTGTCTGCGATGAGGGCTCTACAGAACTTACCACATACCCCACCTAAGGCAACTTCAAATTAACTCCTTCCTCAAGACACTCATGTAGGGGCGTTGCCCCATGATACTATAGCTATAATAAGGCAACCCCAAATGCCAAACCCTAAACCCTAAACTCCAAACCCTAAACTCCAAACCCCAAATAGCAGATGTAATTATTCAGGCCCCTATATGACACTGCACAGGCTTTAAGGCTCTTGCTCCATAGGGCTTCTGGAAGGTAAGGTTCCGTCCTTTCAGGGTTTAGAGTTTAGGGTTTAGGGTTTAAGGTTTAGGGTTAGGGCTTCGGGTTTAGGGTTTAGGGTTTAGGGCTCTTTTCAAGGAAAAGTCACGGTTCTATCGGGTTCAGGGGGTTTGCTTCAATGGGTCCACGAGGGCTCTCTATAAAACGTCGATAAGTTACATCCAAAACCCCGGAATCGGTCCTGGAGTGCTGACCACGGCGGGAGTGTACCTTGGATTCGGATACCCGAGGTTCGGTTC